AGCAGCTGTTTCAGTGCAAACCCAGTCTCAGGGTTCCAGCCATGATGTGTTTGGATTTGCTCAACCCTGAGAGATACACGAACACAAAGAGTGACATTTAGAGAGACGGGTCAGCATCACTCTCATGCAGATTAGTGAATCCCGCTGTGGCTGATACAGCGAGGAGCGTGAACAGAATGGCCAGCAGACGCCGAGAAGAGCTGAGTGACATCAGCACCACCGAGCTCGAGTCTTGTTTGCATGCCAGCTCATTACACTTGGAAACAATACCCGTGCTGTCAAACCCTGTTCTTAGCTTTTCTCTATTCTCTCCAGCCACATATCACAGATTTCATTTTCCAGACAGAGTGACATGAAAAATGCCCCAAAGCCCACCAAACCTCCTGTGTTTGAACACACGCAAGCACACAAAGGAGTGACTGGTAGAGAGGGATGGGAAGAGCAAAGGAGCAGGAAAGAGAACAATGAATTTATTTGGTTCTAATGTGAGTTTTGGCAGAGCTGGCATGCTAATGCAGTGTTACAAATTAAGATCCCAGTTGTATTGTGCTACAGTGTGCCAAGGGGAGGCTGGGAGTTTGACTTCACAGGCCTGAGAGGATGAGTTCAGGTTTGGTCGCCGTGGCAGCTGGAGCCACCAACACTTGCGCTGTGTGTTTATCCACCGACGGTGCCAGATGTGATTCTCAGAGGAAACCGTGCAGGCAGCGGAAGGATCGCACATCCTGCAAAGGCAAACACGGCGGGATCACAACACAAACTCACATGTGCATACAAAATTTATTTTTCTCCTCTTCTGCTGCACGTGCCACAAAGCAATGAAAATAATTTATATACAGCACTTTTATACAATTCAATATGATTAATATATTAATAAATAAAACTTTGAAGTCATTTCATTCTTGAGTTAACTTGCAACAAATCATCCGCCTGCAAAGATGCTTCGAAGAGCTTTTTTCAACCTTTAATAGCAGAATGTTTATGTGTTTGCTCTGCAAATGAATTCTTTATTTGCTAAATTTGAGCAAATTAAAGAGCATCAATTATTGTTTGGTAAAACTAGTCTTTCTGCTTAACTGGTCAGACAAAGCTTTAGGAAGCAGTGACATGAAGAGAGTAAACACTAGTGCTTAATCTGAGAGAAATGATTCAAAGAACATTTGTGAAACTGTGTCATTAGAAGTAATACTTGGAAGTAAACAGACACAATATAGTGACTGTCCTGTCCTTTTTATGTACTATAAAGCTGTTTTGTGCCAACAATGCAAAGATGAGCAACCTTGTAATCTTGCTGTCGACTTAAGTTATATAAAGTATATCTGTATAAAAAGGCATAGTTAGTGTTTAAGTTAAGAACACGTAAACTAGTTGAAAATTATCTTCCATCTCTTGTGAACTAAGATCACAAATCACACTGGATTTCCTGACTGAACTTGTTTTGTTTGAATGCTCATGAATCCGTTTCAGGTTTGGAAATAGAAGGTGGTGTTTAAACATCGGGCAGGTGTTGCAGAAGAAGCTAAAGAAAGGCTGACAGCTCTCAAACATACCTGAAACAGTGTTTTGCTGAGGTCAACCTCTGCCTAACTGAGACGTGGATAACTGCTGGTGATTCCAGAACTTTTGCCTTCAGACTGCTGCTCTTTTAATGTCCAACACACATCTGATCGAGGTGGAGGAGTTGCGACCATCTTCAGAAATCGCTACAGGTGTAAACAGGTTTCATTCAAATTTTATTTTTCCAGTTTTGAGCTGTTGCTATTTGAAATAGCCTGTTCTCCCCCTGTACTGTGCAAAATAATATACAGGGCCCCAAAATACAGTAAGGACTTTATAATGGAATTTGCTGCATTTCTGACTGAAGTCACGATAAAATATGACTCCTTTCTTATTGTCAGGGATTTTAATATTCACGCGTGCTGTCTAGAAAAGCGCATGGTTAAAGACTTTTTGAATCTTACTGATTCTTTTAATTTAGTTCAATGTTCTGCACCCACACAACAGTGTGGCCACACTCTCGATCTAGTTTTGGTGCACGCATTGCCTGCTTTTAATCTGAAAGTCTCTGACCCTGTTTTCTCTGATGCCGGTTCTGTTTGACATCTCTTTGTCTAGAAATGGATTCAGGGGGCATGTCCCTGTTCAGCCATCTCGTTTGTTAAATTCTTTCACTGCAGCACAGTTCTCCACCTACTATACTCAGTTCTCTATTCCTGACACACTCCAAAACGTAGAGGAACTCAGTTCTTGGTTTCATACCTTGGCTATTGTTGCCTCTCTAAAAATCAGGCATCCTAAGACTAAGTTTGAACCCTGGTTGAACGATGAAGCCCGTGCTGTGAGGCCTGAAACCTGGGCTAGATACAAACACTGTTGAAAACTTTAGACCAATATCTAAGCTGCCCTTTTTATCTAAAGTCTTGGAAAAAGTAGCAAGTAACCAATTGATCCCGTACTTGAATGCGCAAAATATTCAGGAGATTTTCCAATCTGGTTTTAAAGCAATGCATAGCACTGAATCAGCACTTTTAAGAATTTTTAATGATATATTTTTATCATGTGATTCTGGTGAAAGGCTCATCTTACTCGATTTAACTGCTGCATTTGACACTGAAGACGATGAAATTTTAATCTCGCATTTGGAGCAGTGTGTCGGTGTAACAGGTGTGGCTCTGAAATGGTTCAGGTCTTACTTAACAAATCAAACCTTTTCAGTTCACTTAGGAAACTGTGAGTCCTCCCGTGCTCCGCTGTCTCATGGAGTACCGCATGGTTCCATTCTGGGTCCCATCCTGTTTTCACTGTATTTACCTCCCTTGGGCTCAATTTTTAGGAGACACAGACTCTCTTTTCACTGTTATGCAGATGACTGCCAGATTTATGTTCCTCTTAAAAAGAAAGATGTGTCGTCTGTAAATCTTTACAAACATGTCTGGAGGACGTCAAGTCCTGGTTGGCGCTAAACTTTCTTTGTTTTAATGATTCTAAGACTGAAGTAATGGTGTTCAGACCTGCCTCCACTGCTGTTCAGTGTGTTGATTTGCAAACCCTGAAATCATTCTGTAAACCAGAGATTGTTAATCTGGGTTTTAAAATGGATCCTGAACTTAAGCTTGAAAGCCAGATCGGGTCGGTTGTACAGTCTAGTTTCTTTCATCTGAGGCAGCTGGCCAAAATTAAGCACTTTCTGGATTACGGCTGGATTATTATTATTATGGGGTGAGTCGACCTTCTGCTTTTCGACTGCAGCTAGTTCAGAATGCCGCTGCACGTCTTTTAACTGGCACTCGTAGATGCGAGCATATCACCCAGTTTTATATTCACTTCACTGGCTGCCCGTGCAATTTAGGATCCTTTTTAAGCTGCTTTTATTTGTTTTTAAATGTTTGTCCAATGCTGCCCCTCTGTACCTCTCTGAGCTTCTTCATCCATACATACCTTCGCGGTCCCTCAGGTGGGCAGACCAGCTCCTCCTGAGCGTGCCCAGGACTAATCGTAAGCTCAGAGGGGATCGGGCGTTTGCTGTGGCAGCACCAAAACTGTTGATTGACATGTTAGTAGATATCGAGGTCTACAGATTAGTGGATATTGGATCAGTTCTCTTAGTCATCATGTTTGGGTGAAAAGATGTGAAGCAACTTTTCAAACAGCCAGATCATCAGTGCCAGACAGCCTGGTGGGAGCATCGCTGAGGTGGCTTGAGGAGTGCAGCTGGTCAGCTTGATCTGTGGGATTTTACAGGATCTGCTGCTGACATCTTGCTGCCAGAAATGCTGGGCACTTCCATTCATTCAGCCACTGGGTGTGTCGTATGGCAGCACACAGCAACAAGCATTTCTCTCCTCATTTATGCAAATAGTGAAATTCAATCATGTGACTATTGTCCACGGTCAATCATAATCACCGTTTTTTATTTGGATTATTAGTAGGTTGTTAAAACTTTTATTTCATGTATAATTATTATTGAAGCTCATCTCCTTTTCTTCATCCTAATGGCATCATGGTCATTGTGTACTTCACCAGAAAGGCTCCTGGTCCCCTGGGTGGGGCCTTTCTGCATGAAGTTTGTGTGTGTTCCTTTTGTTTGCATGACTTTCCTCCACGAACTTCAAAGACTTGCATTGTAGGTTAATTATCATCTACTTCACATCGATGGCTATGTGTATGAGCTAAAGCACTTAATGTGTACAGAGACGGACTGTCTTTAAATGAAAATTTAAAGAACTTTGAGGGGTCATTAAATCAGCACAATATAAAAATGTCAGTTGTTCCATTTCATCTTTTATACCTAGGACTTCACCAAAAAACAAGTTCTTTACAAGTGCTTTCAGAACAGACTGAAACGTAAGCCCCTAGAACTTTGAATTTGCCCTCACAAGCATACTTGAAGTGCTTTAGATTAATGAGCTATATTTGGCTTTCGTTGAATCCGCCCCATGCCAGCCTTCTCTCCTCAGGGAAGCAGACTCTCCTGACTCACTCACAGCCTGCTTCCCGGCCATGAATTGGATGTGATTGGTCAGTGTTAAAGCGCAAATAACCTCACCTGCTGATACTTTGTTACCATTCTGTGCTATTAGTCTCACAATCTCTTTTAGCACTTTGCACCATGCTGCTGCATAATTGCGTTCTTGCGTCTGGTCAACAAAATGCTGCTTCTCTCAGTGTGCTCATGCACCTTAAGTTTGAGGTATGGTTTAAGATGCCTTTGTTTTGATAAAATCAGATTAAAGCCACACTGTTGTATCTAACTTGTAGTGGCTCCACAGTGTTGCGGTTTATGTGTTTGCCTAGGAAGGGAAATATCCCCTGGTTTGGTCCTGACAGGAGGCACGTGTGTTAGAAATGTTACCTCTGCCTGCATCACTCACATTGTCGTGGCTTCTGTTTTTCCATCTCTTCAGTGCAGCTCTTCCCTGTAAAGCAGCCACATTGCAAAACTCATTTCAGTAAAAGTGTTTGTCTATAGCTTGAAGAAACGCTGGTGTGCTGTGTTTCAGGGGGACTCGCTGCGGACCAACATCCAGCTGGATTTTGGTGACGGCACAGCAGTTTCATACTCCAATCTGAGCTGGACCGAGGAAGGGATCAAGCACGTCTACAAGTCTGCCGGAATATTCCGTGTCACGGCGTTTGCAGAGAACACGCTCGGTTACGACACCACGACACTCTACCTGCACGTCACATGTAAGTGTCCACACTGTCACAAACACAACGCGTGCTGTTGCTTTCAACTGAAATCCTCTCTGAGAAGATGACTGCTGCTGTTCACTCTCTGTTTCATCGACATAAGAGACAAAACTGTCGATGCCGTCATCTGAGTCAACTTTTAGTTTGCACTCAAAGCAGTTAACTTAGTGCCCAGAAGCAGAGTGTTAGTAGACTTTTAATACTTTGTTTGCTTTTCAGGCCACAAAGCATTACTGATAAACACAGATGTGTATGACTACGTCCATGAACATCAGTTAATGATGCGTTTCCTGTCTGTATACAGTGTGTTAAGATAGGAGAATGTTTATAATGTAGGAACAGAATGAGACTTTACAAACTGAACGGTCTGTAAAATCTCATTTTAAAAGCTCTGTTTTATTCTGACCCAGACGTGCTCATATTTTGTTATTGATTTGATACAATGCACACACATACCCACTAAAGTTGTGTTAGGTAAGATGATAAAATGTTCAGATTTCACCCTCCAGCATGAACAGTAAGGTTGAAAGAAGGTTACACCAGGATGTAGCAAAGAGTTGTTAAAGATGGGTCAGTTTATTGGCACTGGTAAAGGGGTTAAAAAGAGAAATGTACATTTTTGTTGTTAAGAATATAATTTTATGTAAATTCACAAATACTGTTATGTTAAAAGAATATAGAAATTCTAATGTGCTTTTTGGTATTTTGGGCTTCCGGCACACTGTAAATATGTGGTTATGTAGTTGAGGAGTCAGAAGCAACACAGGTTTCTGACCGAGTCCCACCATGTTAATTTAAACCTTCATTAAACATCTCTTTTGAAAGAAAAGTACCCGGTCTTGCTCGTGTTTCAAATGCCTGTTGCTGGACTGACTTCTAAAGGTGGTACAGAAGAGTGAAACAGAGCCCGACGGGCCCGTCATACTAGCTCAACCCTGTAGATCCAAACCATCAAATAATAGCCAGAAAATTTAGATTTTTTGGAACTGAGGTGTTTTCTGAGATGTATTTTCATTATGTATTTATTATATCTTTGTTGTATCACATTTGATACATTGGGCATTTTTGGCAACTTTTTTGTTAACAACAATGTTAGTTTTAGACCAAACAAAGAGTTTTGTCAATAACATTTTGAAATTATGGAAGGTATTGATCAGAGAGACAGATCTCAGAAACTCGTATCAAATATGATACAAAGGACATTAAAGGGTTAAGAAGAGAGGTGATGATTAGTGAGCAGCAATCCAACTTCCTGCTGAGAAACAGCACTGCAGATGCAATGTTTGTTTCGAGAGTGTTGATGAACAAATGTAGATGACGTCAGAAGAGCCTCACTGTGTATTTGGAGATCAACAGAAAGCGTATGACAGGGTGCCAAGAGAGAAACTGTGGTACTGCATGAATACGTCAGGAGCAAAGCGCAGAGTATGTGAAGGGCTGCAGGACATGTATGAGAACAGAGGGATGGTGGTGAGGTGTGCAGTGAGTGACAGATGGGTTCAAAGTAGGGGTGGGATTACATCAGGGATGCTCTGAGCCCTGCTTGTTTGCAGTGGGGATGGACAGGCTGACAGATGAGGTCAGGCAGGAGTCTCTGTGGACTCTGATGTTTGCCAAAGACATTGTGGTCTGTAGTGAGAGTAGGGAGCCTGGAGAGGTGGAGGTATGCTCTGGAGAAAAGAGGAATTAAAGGCTGTAGATGCAAGACAGAATAATTCAATTTGATTTGCAAGTCCAAAGACATGCAGCTTGTGGGGATAGGTTAATTGGATAATCCAAATTGCCACTAGGTGTGAATGTGAGTGCGAATGGTTGTCTGTCCCTGTGTGTTGGCCCTGCAACAGACTGGCGACCTGTCCAGGGTTCAGTTTTATTTATATAACGCCAAATAAGGACAACAGTCACCTCAATGTGATATGTGAGAATGTACATGTGTGAGAATGATGGGGAGACAACTGCAACAGTGGAGATGGATGACCGTCGAAAGCAACGTACAGGAGAGAGGTGAAGAAGAGAGTGCAGACAGGGTGGAGTGGGTGGAGACGAGTGAGAGGAAGGATATCAGAAAAGAATGAAAGGGAAGGTTTAGGTTTAGGATGATAGTATGACCTGCCATCAGTCAGTATGGTTTAGAGATGGTAGCACTGGGAAAAACATGGGAGGCTGAGCTGGAGGTACTGAGATGGAGAGATGAGATGGTTTGGACATGTGCAGAGCTGGGATTGTGAATATGATGGACAAAAATGTTGAATTTGGGCAGGAGAAATAGAGGGAAACCACAGAGAAGATTCAGGGATGTAGCGAAGGAGGCTTTAGAGGGTTGGCGTGACAGAGGAGGATGCTGGGACAGGGTGTGATGGAGGAAGAGGATCTGCTGTGATTTGTTTGTTTTTCCTTTTTTTAATTATTTAGACAAAAGAGTTGATCGCCTGGATATCACCCACCCAGCCAACATTAGCTTTGCTACTTAAGACCAGAATACTTTCTGAAGACATGAAGACGTTTGTGTCAGAGTCAGTAATGTTGGGACATGACTGTTGGTTCATATAAATGATGTAGTGTTGCTCACTATTTATACTGGAGATGGAAGAGAGACCTTCAGGCAATAGCAGGGATTTTTGTAGAAAGTCGCTGCTTCCTGTCTTCAAATAAATGAGAGAAAGCCTTTAGATGGATGGTCAGATGCAGTCCTTTTGGACATCAGCAATAAAAAAAACATCAAATGAAATTAAGTCACTTAATGCATTTTTTTGATCAGCAGTAAAATGTTTTTTCAGATGTGGATTTCACGGTACTTAGCTCCAGGTGGTATATTCGTTCACCTGAACGGCAACCACACTGTTGATCCACGCTAAACTCATTTCAAGTGAACTGTGCTCACCTATACAGGGTTTGTAATACAGCAGCTGTGATAAACAAGTTTTGGGAAAAAGGTCATAATAAACTTGCTTATGCAAGGTTTTACTGTGAGGAACAAACAGAGAAGTGAGCCTTTAAGACCACTGCAGCTAATAGGCAGTTATCTGAGGATACGGCATCATAACAATGGATTACTTTTAAAGTGGAGCAGGTTTTACGCAGCAGCACAAATAACAAATTACTGGATCGTCATGCCTTCTAGCTTCTGTTCAGACAGCAACAAAACAGTGTATCACTTTAACTTTCCATGGAAATTATTCAAGCTGCTTTCTGTAAGTGTTGAATTGTCTCTCTGTTATTTTTGCTGATTTTTTTCAGTCAATTTTTTTTCCAACAATATCTTTATTATTTTTTTTTACATTTTAATGACTTACAAACAGTCCAACATTCTAAATACTACATGTTTTCAGTCAATTTTAATTTAACCTCCTAAATTAAAAGTCAGCCAGCCTGCGCTGTATGTATATATTTCTGACAGGAACAATTTCAGCTGGATTTATTTCACAGTGTAGGTGATGCTTTCAGGGAGAAACGCCAAAAACTACTACAAACGATTTCTCAGCTGAGCATATTTAATACCAAACGATTCTCTCACCTTCTCCCATTCATACAAAGATACAGTACACACACACACACACACACACACACACACACACACACACACACACACACACACACACATACACACACACGCAGCATCTGAAGTTGGGGATAAAGATTAGTTCTGCTTAAACAGGATGAGCGCTAATAGAAGCCTCGGAGAAATGAGCACTACACGAACCTTTCGTTGGAGTTTTTCCATAAAAACAGTGTATTACATTTGTCCATGGCAGCAAACTTCATCTCTACGATTAGTGTAAACCATCCCAGACCCCTGTCAGGTCCCATTAGGTTCTTAGTGGGGAGGTTTGCAGTATTACCCAGAAGGTATTATGTCAAAAAATTCATGATGGTGTCAACATTTTTGGGAGTTTTTTGCTCGTCAGCACTAGTATCAGAGTGAAATGGTTCTGTTTTCTGTCAAACAATAATGTTACATATGTGCAAAAATTAGCTAAACTATCTGTTTGCCTGCTATATGTTTCATCTACATTTTCACAGACAGTAGCTGTCACCTGAAGTTTGCTCCTGTCACGTTACACCAGAATAAATATCTCAGAGTTGATGACATGAGACATTGGGAGTAGAGCTTATTCCTTCATGGAAAATTCAGGTCAGATGAATGAGTACTAGCACTGAAAATATATAAATAGTGTTAACTTATTAAAAGAAACCAGCAAACGTCCACTCCTGTTTCTTAAAGAATAAAAGGCGGGGTTTGTATTTAAAGACATTCACTTTTCTGGCTCAGCTGCAGTTTTGTTGAACTCTGACTGCTTCACACTGTGACAATTGGTCAGAAATGTAAAATGCAGTAAGAAAAGTCCAAACTATCCAAGTAAACATGTCAGTTGCGTCTCTTAATAGTCACGCAGCTTGATGGAAGCAGGCAGTGTGTGCAGCTACAGGTTAAATTTGGTATATCCTCCTCCAAATCACTCCACAGATCTTTTTAAGATTTAAGCTAATTAAGAAAAGTCACAAAGTGTGGTTTTGACGTTTTCAAAAGTTTGCCTTTATGCTTTGTAGATTAGAGATTAGATAACACTTTATTAATCTCTCAGGTGGATTCCTCTGGGAAATTCGTTACGGGTAATTGCAAAGAGCAAAACTTACATTACAAGTGCTAGCACATGGTCCACTTTGGTGGGGTTCCAGTTTGTCACGTACCTCCCAGTCTTGGTAATTTGGCACGCTCAGCCGGGTTCAAACGCTCAGGCAGCCTTTCCAGTGCAGGAGGACGGACATTACACAGGAGAAGATGAATGGAACAGCTGGAAAAGATGAGGCATTTTGCAGAGAAACCTCAGCAATCATTTTGTCACCGGGGCGCTTCTTCCTATCGCAGCGCTAAGACGGTGATCTTTACTGAGTCGCTCTCATTGAGAGGACGACTGCGGCGAGTCAAGCCTTCGTTAAATCGTTAGTATAAATGTTTACTGTGTTGATGTCATAGTTCACATGAATATCAGTCTCAAAGTTAGTTTAACCTGCTTTCTGGAATAGACCCAGGTGGACCTTCACTATAATAATTTATAGTGTACATAAATATAAATGAGTGTTATCCAACTGGGCATCTTTGGATCATTAGAGTTCTGTCTGTGATGCTCCTTAGCTTATAATATAAAGTGCCTCGAGATGTCTGTTGTTGTTCCATATAAATAAAACTGAATTTTCTGTTAGATGATTATAAAGAAGTGCATAAAGTGGATTTTGTGGTGTGGAGATAATAAAGAACAAAAAAAATAGAACTGTTTAATTCAACTTATCAGTTTATCAAACCATAATGTGCAGAAATGCAAACTCTATTTAAAACCCTTGTTTTGCCACAGAGAAAGCAATTACTTCTGTCAACTGTTTAAAAACACAGCACAGCAGGCAGAAAGAAAACTCTTCCATTTGCTGATTATTTTCTCTCCAAAATACAAGGCTGGAATAATTTAAAACAAACATGCGCCCAACTTAGAATAGTCATTATTAAGAAATGTACCGTCACAACTCGGATGAAGAAATAAATATGAATATGAATGAGAACAAGATCACACGAACATACAGTGTTTCATCTTCTGCCATCGCAGTGTGTGCATGGTTATAACAGGCCGCCATATATGTCTCACCTATTAGGCAGTCTCATTACACCTGCCAGCAGACTCGCACAGCCTAATTGGGAAGGTCTGTCTGACATGCATCGCAGTGATTGCAGTATAGAATTAGGCAATAAACTGCAGGGGGGGCTTCTATTACTTAGAAGCTGTTACATCATTTGATTGTCACACTGATAGATGTGACAATTATCTTGTTTCGAGTGACATAAAAAGTCCCCGACTGTTTAACCGTCCTCATAAAGATAAACTTTCTCAGTAATGTTGGATTGAGTTGCATCAACATGGTTACAGAAGTAAAGGTGTTACATTTTAGAGGATTTTCATCCATCACGTCGTAGTAACGGACACTCGGCTGCACCTTGAGAGTTCCTCACTATGAGTTTATATGATATTTCTTTTCACAGTGTTTGCATTTATCCATTTTTCTTAACCCACTTATTCTGTCCAGAGTTTGGGGGGCTGGGATGGGAGTGTGTCTTTACCCAAACTGCACCAGACATGTAGAGAAACAGAGACAGATGTATTCACCTCAGGTGCAGATCTTTGAACTGTGGGAGGAAACCCGAGTGCACTGAACAAGCTTCGCACCCCATGTACCGCCAACTGCCTTTTTTGTATTTGAGTGAGAAGCACGATCTGAAGTCTGCCTCATTAACTGAATCCGTGTACGATATCAACCCGTCTGTCCTGTTTCTTTCTTAGGTCCAGTGGAGCATGTCCAGCTTCTTGCTCCCTTTGTGGTCATAAGAAACAAGGAAGTGAACATCACAGCGGTGGTCTTACCCAGCCACTCACGCACAGTCACTTACTTCTGGTGGTTAGGAAACAATACTGAGGTAACGTCTGCAAAGAAAGACTCATTAAAGACATTTTCATTGAAATTTCTGTGGCTTGCGATTTAGATTTTAGTTGTTATTTTTTTAAGCTGTATAGTAAGTGCTGCTGTTAGTAGACTGCTTAATATAAATGCTCTTATCTGTGCTTGAGAAGTGTTTTTAATGTTTAAGAAGAACAAAGCAACAAAAGAGAGATCCAGAGCCAAGTCCTCAAAAGTGATAGAACATGTCTCGTGTGCTTAGAGCACGCTCAGGTTAACATTAGCTGAAAGGTCGTCTCGTGTCTTAATCACATAGTGATGCTTGGTCAGGATCTCTCGGCATCACATTTTTACACTCATTATGTATTAAAAAGCCAATTAGTGTCATTTTTGATTGGACAGGGCAGATTGACAGACTTAATACAGAGCTAATAAACTTGTGTAGGACCTCAGGTTTGATGCTTGTATTATAGAAATTACTATGATAATGAATCAGAACCAAGACTCACACGTTTGTCCGGTTGTTAGGTGATGATGATGAACCCTGCTTCCGGGTCCAAACTACTCTGTGTTTATTGAGGCTGTTGTGTTTCTAACAGGTTTTAATGTTTTGTATCTTGTTCTATTTAAGCTGAACAAGAACCTAAAAACAGTCAGTGATCACTGTCGGCCTCTCTGAGTTTGGTTGATTGAATCTTTATTTTGAACATGTTGAAAAAGTATAACAACATAGAATTAAAACCAGACAAACAAACAAAGCAAAACAAAAGGAAAATGAGCAACCACAAATAACTTTCATGTTCAAAAAGGAGCAGGAAGAAGCATAAGCTTATTTAATCCCACCCCCTTTTCCACTATCTAGTAATCAACAGAATACAGAAATCCTCCTTACAATTACATTATATGTTACATGTATTTAAAAAAAAATAATAATTATATGTATATCTATCTTTCTATCTATCCATATATACATGTATACACATACACACATATACTCATTTTCAAAAACCCCAGTTACACCTCAAAGGATACACAACCTACAGATATATACACCCAAAATACATGTGCACCCACACACACATGAAAATATTGGACAAGAACAGCCTATCAAATTTCTACCTCCTCCCTGTACCCTGCAAAAACCATCTCCTTAGACTGCTGTTTAAACTGCGCCATGCTTGGACTTTGCTTCATATCTTTACTTTTCCACAGCTTCACTCCACACACAGAGATGCAAAAACCTTTTAATGTTGTACGGATACGAGGATGTTTTAAATTTAATTCCCCCCTCAAATTGTATCCCCGTTCTCTTTTAGAAAACAGTTTTAGAATATTGTCAGGAAGCAGGTTATTTATTGCTTTATACATAATTTATGCTGTGAGAAAATGAACCAGATCTGTGAATTTTAGAATTTTTGATTTTAAGAATAGTGGATTTGTATGATCTCTGTAACCAGTTTCATGGATTATCCTTATGGCCCTTTTTTGTAATATAAAGATTGATGATAGCGGACGTTTGTAAGTATTGCCCCAAACCTCTGCACAGTAATTCAAATACGGTGCAATCAGGGAACAATAGAGAATGTGTTTGACTTTACTCAAGATTGAAACACTTCTTCCAATTTTGTTATCTATATGATTTATATGTGACTTCCAGTAATATTTTTTTCCTATAATCAGACCAAGAAACTTATATTCAAGTACTCTTTCAATGTCCACACCATCTATATGAATTCGCACTTGCATTTCTAAGGGAATTCCTAAATAAGACTATTTTAGTTTTACTTAGATTTAGCGATAGTTTGTTCCTGTTAAACCATTTTTCAATTTTGCACATTTCTGAAGTAATTGTATCCAGCAGCTCCTTTAGATTCCCACTAGAACAAAAAATATTTGTGTTGTCTGCAAATAATACTAATTTTTAATACATCAGATGCCTTGTAAACATCATTTATATAAATAATACATTTTGGACCCAGTACAGAGCCCTGTGGAACACCACAAGTAATGTCCAAGCATGATGAGGAATGGACACTCAGCTTCACAAATTGTTTCCTGTCACTTAAATAGTTTTTCACCCAGTGCAGTACAACCCCCCTGATCCCATATCGTTCCAGTTTATTAATTAATATGTCATGATTGATTGTGTCGAATGCTTTTTTAAGATCCAAAAATAGTCCAGCTGCATATTGTTTCTGATCTGTAGCATTTATAATATCTTCAATTGATTCGATTAATGCCAGTGATGTTGATCTTTTTGATCGGAATCCATATTGACTGTCAGAGAGTAATTTATGTTTATCTAAGAATTTGTCTAATCGTTTATTAAACAGGTTTTCTAGGATTTTGGAGAATTGTGGAAGTAAAGAAACAGGCCTGTAATTTGTGAAGTGGTGTCTATCCCCAGTTTTATACCACGACACAACTTTAGGTATTTCTGTTTATTATTAGTTTTACTACCACTCTTCATTGTAAAGCTCAGTTTTTAAAACCTTACAATGTAACAGCCCAGCACTTGCAGCAGTATATTAATGACTAACCTCGTATTGTGGATGGGTTATCTCAGTTGTTCTCCTGACTGAAGTTTGGTTCGTTTACAGCATCCTGCAATTGCATTTGTCTCTAACCATCAGGAACCCTCACGTTAACTTTTATCGAGTGGAAAAAAGTTAGCGTTCATCCTTCAGCTTCACTGTGTTTATGTTATGCTAACATAGCTGTATAGCTAGCAATCACGTAGCACATCATTATATACCAGCTAGCCCAACTTCAGTAACCCTACAAACACCACTGCTGTTTAGTTGTCGGTCTCCTTTTATGTTGGAAGTGCTAGCAGAGCTGTACGTTTTCATTGTTCAAGAATCCATCAGTCAGGACATGGTATATCATGTTTAGGTGGAAACTAGCGAGCTAACTCCCTGCTAACTTCAAACTCCATTAAACTTAATAAATCCTGTTTTCATTGATGCCTGCATGTTAAACTTTATAGTTACACCTGGTAAAGCAGCCACACTGATCATTTTATTAAAGAATTTAGACAGTTTTTAACTCTCAGTGATGCTGCAGTGTTCATTTGACTTTGGGACCTGAAGCGGAGTTTGGACCCGGAAGCGGCTGATGACGTTAGACTTAAAGACCAGATTCCTCTTCCACATCTGTTGTGATGTGGCCATGGTAACAATTGCTGGAATTGTTAGAGTATATGTATTTCACTGATTCTGTTTGGATCTGCTTTTTTGTTTTGTTTTTTAAAGCAGAAACAACACTTTTAAGCTACTACCGAAACTATCACTATAATTTCAGTCATCTTTTGTTTGGTAGGGCCTAAACTCTCACTGTGTATACTTATAAATGAGTACCTGTTACAGTTTTTATAACATACTACTTCATGTTCCTCCTCATGAGGGATTTTGGTGCCAAGGTGTGCAGTTTCACCAATGTTACACGTTGAACTTGGAAAGAAATTGGGACATTATTATGTTTACCTGTAACTTAAAAACTGTGCTTGCAGCCGGTGATAACTTTGGATGGAAGCATCTCGCACACCTTTCAGAGTGAGGGAATGCACACCATAACTGTTCAGGTGGCTGCCAGCAACACCATCTTGCAGGACACTAAGACTATAGCAGTCAAAGGTCAGTATTTGTTAACTGTGTTCCCGGAGCTGGTAACAACACATAACTGCAGTTTAATGGGAGGCAGTTAAATACTTTTTATTTAAGTCCTCCAATTTTACTGTTTTCTTTTATTTTTACCCTGTATAAGATGTAAAACAGCTCCTACTTGACTAAAATATATCACATTACTGCTGGAACCTCTAAAGAATATGTCTTCATTTAAAATGAAGTGATCCAGCAGCAAGTATCTGTAAAATGCAATGATTTATTACCAGAGAATGGGTTGGCGTAAAGCTGTGACATTTTCTAATTATCTAGAAGTGCATCTGGTACATTTAGCCAAAGGGAAGTGCGGGGGATATGAGAAAGCCTCTTCTTTTCATCAAGTGTTAACTACCTGAAACTCGACTTGAGCAAAATGACAGTTGGCACAGCTCACTGAGAATAATGCCTTCAGATGGGAGTGAATTAATGGCTGATTCTCCCCTGACTCTCCTCGACAGAATTCTTCAAATCTCTACTTTTATCTTTCTCCCCTAATCTGGACGAGTTCAACCCTGACATACCCGAGTGGAGACAGGATGTGGGGAGAGTAATTAAGAAGGCTCTGCTCCAAGTGAGTGATTTTCATTTTCTCTCTGCTTCCTTCTCTCTTCCTTCCCTTCCATCCTTCCATTTCTCAATCTTGAGATTCTTTCCATTCCATCGTTTTTTCTTTACTCCTACTTTCCGTCTCATCCTGCTATTTCTCAATTATTTCATATACCCCTTTGCGGTCCAATACTCTGGGCTCACTGGTGCAGCGAGAGAACGCCCTCGGCCACCCCGTGATTCATCATCAGACAGGTGTGAAGACGACTCTGCTTTCCTTCTCTCCCGAGACGCCTTCACAAGCGCCGATTTCTTAATTTTAAAGTCAGAAAATGAACTTCAAGCCTAGGAGACCAAGGAGTGACGATACCTGTCACTGTGGCTAATGTGTGTTTGTGTGTGCGCACTTGATCGTAGGAGGTGTGCGAGTGTGTGTGGGAAGCTCACCCATCACTGCTAAGTGCTACTCATCTCCCCATCCACAGCTCATGAATAGAGTGCTGCATTTTTTTGCTGTGCTCTTAGCCATCTTAACAGCGTATCGAGCATTTGGAGCTGCAGGTGGGAGCCTTTGGAGGAACGTTTAAAGTGGTTCAAGGGGAGCTCGTGTGTAACCCGGATAACCCCAGAGTCAGACCTGTGTTTGCGAGCTGATTGTTTTAGCGTTCGCTGTGAATTTCGTGCCGCTTCGCTTCAAGTAATTTGCCTTAAAAGTGATTTTAGCTTTTCTTCATCATGTTGTTTATTAGCAATAACAAGACTCCACTAAAGCAGTTAAGGCTGAACTGATATTAACGATCCTGCGGACAGACTTGTGTTATTTATTCCAACTTGACTCCCTCTTAAATAAATCACTGAAGTTATTGATGTCTTCTCAAGCTATTGAAAGCTTGTGCACTTCACTAATTACCAAAGTTAAATAGAGCTCTGTTGATGCTGGTGTTAATTCACTCATGATTAAACCATTTCAGCATGTGAGAAACGGTGTGGATGTCTGAAGTTTAGGCTCTCAGCTTTTTAGAATCTTTGAAAAGTTCATATTTCAATTTTACCTTTTTCTTGCTACTCAGTTGGATTAATTGTTCCTCCCTTTTTTCTCAGCAATCTAAAACAGTCGAATAAAGTGACCCTGTGAGCCTAAACTTCAACCTTGTTTTTATTTTTATGTATTACTATGATGTCTGTCCCTGAGATGCAATGTCAAATAGTCACCAGTTAAAACTACAAACCCGAGGCTACAGTCCCACACACAGATACACATTCCTGTCTTAATGAGGACACACACAAGTTTTTGTTATGCTGTTTCAGTTTCAATACAAAGCAAACTGCAAAGTTAGAAATAAGAACATTTAACATCTCCACAGTGATTCTGTGGTAGAAACAGGGCTGTGTTACCTGTTAGTCGCAGGTCAACAGACATCAGTGTGGCTACTGCGCGATTAGCTTCATGTTAGCATGCTGTCAAACAGCTAATACTGTGTTAGCAGCAGTGGTTGCTTTTTTGGGAGAACAGTTTGTACGCGGTCTTCTTTTTCCTCCATGCAAAAACAGTAAAAGTTATGTTCATATCTTCCTTCCTCAGAAGCTGTTGATGTTTTTAATCTGGTCATGTCTGAGGCCTGCATTGAAATTGCAGCTGCAACTACAAGTGATCAGGAAGGGGCTTCCAGTAAGGAAGTTGTCCAATACTGGGAGATAAATTGTCATAAATTGCAGGGACTGACTTTTTGCACATCTATGTTCCTTCCCGTGCTCTTCGGTCTCAGGATTCTGGATTTCTAAAAGTTCCTAAGGCCAGAAAAAAAGACTATTGGGGAACGTGCTTTTTCTTTTTGTGCCACATTTTTGTGGAACAACCTCCCTCAACATATTAGGCAGGCATGCTCTGTGGAGGTTTTTAAAGCTAAGCTTAAGACCCACTTGTTCACCCTATCCTATGTCCGTTAGTTTTTAAATTACTATCAGTTTTAACTTATACTGTTTTTTCTGTACTGGATGTATTTATTTTTTAATCTTTTATCTTCGAATAACTTTTCAGCACTTTGTTTGAAAGCACTTTATAAATAAAGTTATTATTATTATTATTATTATTAAGGAACTATTAATAAGCAGTAATAATGAATATTAATAGTTAGCAAAATTAATAACTAAATACAAAAATAATGTTGTTGTGGTGGTGTTTTAAACACAGAATGACAGGTATGTTGGTGAAAGATGTTGGCAATACAATTTTTTAAGTTGTCTTAAATCAAATTGTCTGCTCACGGACGGCTGCCCCGACCTGAGTCTGGCTCTGGTGGAGGTCACTTCCTGTTAAAGGGAGGTTCTTCCTTTTCATTGTTGCCAAGTTCTGCCTCAGACATTGTTTAGCTTGCAGTATAAAAGCAAGTGTTGTTGTGAAGTAAAAGTACTCTGAACAGGATTTTAAACAAATTTGTGGTTTGAAAACAAATTTCTTAATTAACTAATTTTAATGTTCTGTTAAGCAGCAGTAAAGAGATGCATTGCCTCAGATTACCTTTACCTTTGAATATTATTTGTGGTTTTAACTACATGTCTTGAGAACGTCACCTTTAAGCCACTGTTGAAGAAAAACAATCAGTCCTAAGGCATGCTGATACAGTGTGATTTAGACCTGTGCAAACAGTGGAAGAAATGTGGGAGCACAAGTGGCCCGCAGGTGATTTTTTTCTCCGTTACTTCTCCCTCATTGTGAGTCATTTCAAGTGTCTGCTTCAAATGCTTTTGTCCTCCTTTACATCACAGTTACCACCTACACTTGACTGCACTGTGTTCACAGCTCAACCGCCCGTCTTTCCTGTAGTCTGGGCCTACGGGTAGCTTTTATTGAGGCATGACATGCAGAATCAAAAGTCTGGATTCATAATAATAAATTGATTCAGTTTTTTTTTTCTCAGTGATATGGGCCATTTGTGATGTGGAGAAGGATAATTACTCTACTTTCACACCGAGAACTCTGGTGCACTCGGTTTATCACATGCTGAGTTTCAGTGCCATAGTACACATTAGAGGGCTGTGTCATCAATCATAGAACTAAGATTACAATACATAACCATGTAGTTCTTCTTGAAGTGAAATCCATATGAAAAAGTAGAGCGACAGTTGCTATATGTGTTTTTCTTTTTTCCGTTATATTACACTCGTGTCTGAATTGCCACTTTTCATCTTTTCGTATTACGCCGTCAGACTTTCATATCAGGTACTTGTTTATGTGAAAGGGCTGTAGATCTGTTTATGTGTTTGCATCTGACACAAAGTTCATTTCCAGACAAACATATTGTCCAAGTGGTGACAGGAAGGGTTATTTTTCCTCCATTTTGTTATGGCTGAGGAGTCTTGGTGGAGACACAGGCCAGTCCACAACTGATGGCATTTCAACATAGTAAACAACTCCCAAACAATAAAATAGGAGATGAGGAAGAGAACAAATCGCAATTAAAGTCAAGGTCCATTTAACGGAGGTGCACCACTGCCGAATGTATCATGTCATGATTTTGCACTCTTCGCCTATAGGCTCATTTCATTTCCAGCGCTTCTGCTGTTCCTGAACGTGCGTTCAGCAATCAAGGTTATTTCAGTCCACTCTGTCTTTCCTTAGCCACCTCCCTTTCATATTCCCTTAACGTTTCTCTGCTCAGACTCATATAGTTTACAGTGTTCATCCTCCTCCATAGCTTCCCTCGAAGGTTAATGCAAGCTATCAAGCTATTGTCTCTTTATTGCTTCCCCAGAGGCGCTGATTTTCTTTTTTATCCATCTGAAGCGTGGTAAACCATCCACTCTGATGTGATACTCTCGTCATTTGAATCTGCTGTCAGTTGTGATGTTGACAATTAACTTACTTTCAAATGACTGGAATGCATATGAAGCTTTATGAGTGAAGAAAACCTTTGAAATATTAATAATAATGAAAGGTAGTACCATCTTCATCTCCAGAGGAGGAGTCCCACTGATGTCGGTGATCACCTGACCTTCATTTTCACAGCAACACAAGGCTTGAAATCTCAGATGTTTATCAACAAGAATGGAATTATATCTTTTGGTATTTCATTTTATTTATTATTTGTTTTTTAGGAGTATTTTTCCTCTCCCTGACCTGTGCACCTGGGATGGTCCATGGACAAACTTTAGACAATGTTGGGAAAGGATAATGTAAAGTCGATAGAGAGAAATGGCAGTCGACAGTAAATCTACATTTCTGGTTAATTATTTTTCTTTGATTACATTTCATCATATTCCTTTTTGCTTAGTTTCAACAAGAATTGGAAAAAGTTTGTATTTACTTCTTTCATATCCTTTTTAATAGATTCTGGTAAGAAAAAGCATCATCTATCCCTGAAATGGGCTCATGGTGCGACACCCAGTCAATTCCTGACTGATATGACATTGGTGGTTCCAGAAAGATGAATCCGACTGCTTATGAAAATTTTTCTGCTTCTTCCTGAACTGCCAGCAATTTCTTTAGGTTCAGATAGATTATTAGGTCACAATTCACTTGGTTTTAATCTAGGTGCTGTCATCAGAACAAAATGTTCATTTGTTGGAACAACCTGGAGAACATACCTGGAAAAACATGTGAGCTTCCCACCAGCCAGAATTCTAGGTGTCATGCTAACATGCTAAGCTAAGAAAGAGAGGTTAACATTTAGTTGAAAGTTTTACTACAACAATGTTCATGCTTAGAGAGAAAGGCAACAGTAGTTAAAGAGTTGTTTTTATTGTTTTAATAATTCAAGGGCAACATCTGGGTGTCTGCATGTCTTAAATATTGTTTAAGCTACAAACACAAAATCATTTCCAAAACCCTGAAATGTCAGTAGAGGTTATCTGCTTTACATTTAAACTAAAGCGTTTCACGTCAAAAACTGAAAAAGAAGTGAAAGTGTAGCAAGATAATAACTTTCAGAGTCCCTCTGGAGTTTATCTTCTTCAAATAGTATTTCTTGAAATGAACTTGCAAAATATTGCATTGTGAAATCTTCATATCAAACCAAATTGAGCCGA